GCCTGGGTCAGCAAAGGCCTTCAAGAGCGAGTCCAGCCTTTAACCTGACACGGACAAGTTCTCGGCTAAACCCCGTCTCTGCGCGCTGGGTCTGCCCAACTCTCACATCCCTCCAGGGTTGGGAACTCCACCCCTGCCCTAGCAAATCCATTCCAGCACCTGAGAACCCTCTCAGGAAAGAAATTCATCCTCATGACCAACCTAAACTTCCTTCACCACAACTTGCAGCCATTCCCTCTTGTCCGATTTGTTATTTGGCTGAACAGACCGACCTCGACCTCACTACAACCTCCTGTCAGGGACCTGCAGAGAGTGAGAAGGTCTCCCCTCAGCCTCCTTTTCTCCAGCTGAACAACCCCAGTTCCCTCGGCTGCTCCTCATCACACTTGTTCTCCAGACCCTTCTCCAGCTCCGTTGCCCGTCTCCAGACACGCTCCAGCACCTCGATGTCCTTCTTGTGGTGAGGGGCCCAAAACTGAACACAGCACTGGAAACGCTGAGTCTAGGGGTAAAATCACTTCCCTAATCCATCCATCATGTTTATTAAGCCTGTGCTTGAACATGTTTTGCAGGGGAAATACACTTTTGCAGATGGTCTCGAATACGAAGATAAAAAATGGCACTACTGCGACGGCTACGACAGAAGATTTTACACAGAAATCTGTTCTGGTCTTAAACCAGCAGGTACTGAATTGCGTTTGCTATCCTAAGAGTCTGGAAGGAATTAAACTAACAACTTTGCTTAAGAAAGATTAATTCGGCCACATGAGTAACATGGAGCAGAAATGCTCTGGCTAATTTCAGGACCCTACCATACAATGCTGCCAGAAGAATGCTGACACCACCTTCCAGCGGTGCGCCGCAGCGTGGCATCCACAGCCAGGTCTTTGGAGTGATGACCTGCAGGACAGGGCTTTATTATCTACCGCTTCTGATACCCTGATTAACCCTTTTATACATTTGGCTTTTGCTGCATTAGCTGTGCGCTTTTAATACAGAAAAGTTGAGCAAAAGCGATTAATCCACGTCTAGAACATCAAATGAAGTTTGAATTCCTCTGTCCCATGTAGCTTTCTAGTAGACAGCAAAATAAACATTTGTGTCCAGTCTATAGTTTTGCTAAAGAGTTCTGTAATGTTATTATTTGTCTGTAGTCAAAGGTGGAAAGATTTATAAGGAACAAGTAAGGAGAACATGTAATGTAGTACATAAAATACTCTTCTTTATACATCGAATATTTCAGCAATGACATGTAGTTGTTCGGCGAGGCCAGCAAAGCTCTCCTGGCTTCAGTTTGGGGTTTGGGGTCATATTTGTAATTTAGGTTAGTGGGCTGAATCACAGGACTGTGAATGAGGAAAACAAAGTGATATCTTTCTATCACACACTTTTTGCATATGGATTTTTCCATTTTCATTTTCTCCATCTGCAAAATCGGCAGAAAGTTTTGTAACATGGAAGGTAACTGCATTTGTTTTTATAGCAAATGCCATGGAGATGTAATATTTATTAGTTATCTTGATCAAAGGAACAAATGAGGGGGGAAAGAAAAAAGGCAAAATAAAGCAAACCCTAGCACCCTAGCAAACCCTCTGTTCTGTTTTGTTTGGCTTTTTTTTCCTTCAGGCATTTCTCAGCTTACAAACCTGGATCCTCCCAGGAAAATCCCAGAAGGATGTTACGACTGTGGTGATGGATTCTATAATCCTGAAACCAGAGTTATTGTTGACTACAAATTCAGGTTTCTGAGAAACGCAGGTATGATTAAATTCTTCCTCAAGGTAAACTAAGATGAGTTTATTTGTCATATCTGCTAGGATGAGTGATTAAAACTAAAACATAAAAAAGTCCATCATTTGGTTCCATTATCACTGAGCTAAAATATTTTTTACTTATTCATTTTTATAAGTGATTCATGTATCCCCAGAGCTGTATAAATCATATTTTTCAAAATTACAATGAAGTATTCCCAAGCAGATATGGATAAATATATTTTATTACCGTTTGGTATGTTAATCTCAGGAAAATCTTCAATCTCCTCCATTATGATCTCAAGCAAGGGAGTGGTTGTAAGGTGTACATCATTGATCCTGAAAGCTAATGAGCTCCATGTTGTGAACCAGCAAAATGCTTAAGCATGTGCTTACCTCTACATGGTAGAATAGTTCTTTTTTAATTGAAATGAGTCCTAGGGCTGTCTTTAAATACTTTGCTGAACAGGAAACTTCCTTGTCACCTGTATTTTGAGTAGAGTCTGGCAAATACTGGGTCTCATCAAGCCAAAAGAGAAACTTTTCAAATTAAAAGCACACTGGGAAAATACAAAAAATGTAATCTGACCTGAAACAAGTACTTTGGGTTCTGGCTATTTACCTTTTGTGTTCATCCCCTTTGTAGTGCAGATTTTATTTTAAATTAAAATGATTAATGAAAGCAACCACCCACCTACTCACCTTTTTTTTTTTTTAAATGTCCAAATTGCAAGACCTAGTGTTTCTAAGATGACCGAACATTTCATTTTCAGTGCGCCACAGTTTAACTGTTTTGTTGCTTGGAAACTCCATTTCTCAGCAAATTTACTATTTGTTGAAAAAAAAAATTCTGCTCAGCTCTACTTTCAGGAGCTTTTATAAGTAAGCACTGTGATAGTGGAGGAGGGAATTGAAGGGGGGAGCTAAATGAATTGGAGATACCATCTGCTATAAAATATACCCTATGATACATGGCCTGTTTTATAAACGTTGAATAAAAACTGATCTAGATTATTACAAATGGCATCGATCCAAAATACTGGAATGCAGTGGGCCTACTGATGAGGAAGATAAGCAACATGCTTTCCAAAAACACAGGAACCTACACAGATTAGTACAGGAGGGAACGCCTTGGAATTCAATTTATTGTTTTGTAATCTGTTCTTTGAACTCATTGTCCTTTATGACATTTATCTCAAACCCTACAAATTATATCAATCAATATTCGCTCACCAGAGCGGCGCAGCGTGCAGCCTGACGGAGCCGTTGGAGATGTGCTTTGTGCGGCCGTTCCAATGAGAGCCCCGAATACAAAGTTATACTTGTTGATGTGAGTGTGAAGAAGGAATGTGTCGTATAGCCCAGACCCTGCCTCTCCAGAACATGAACACAATTGAAAAACCCGGCACTTGTTCAACATCAGAGGAACTCTTACCGCCCCAGGAGAGATGATTCAGGGCACAAGGCCACCGCAGTAAAGAAAAAAAAAATAAAAAAACCCCAGCTGTAAAGCAGAAGAAACTGAGGAAGAGGCTGGGATGACAGGGAACAGATCCAGGATTACTCCATTATAGGTTGGGCAGGAAGGAGCAGGAAAACCTCCAGGCTTCCAGCCAAGTCTTGAAAGCATCAAAAGCAGATGGTAGGAAGCATTCGGGAAGTTCTTACAACAGCTCGACAGGTCTACCAGAGTGACACTATCTTCCTCGGGTCTGGCAGCAGGCTTTCAGAATACGCCAGTTCTCACCTTTCACCCTGGCCCTATTATGAAGCAATTGCTGATTGTTTCTGGGCTGTTTGTGAAAGAGGGCGAGGAAGCGCGCGGCCTTGGCGCTGACCTGCATCCGAACCGGCAGCGCCCAGGTACCAGTCCAGGGCAGAAGAGAGCAGGCACCGTTTGAAACTACTGGGTTTGCGTCCACCACCGTCGTCGTTGTCAAGATGAGTGGATGCAGAGTACCGTGGAGACTCCCGTTCCAGTTGGCAAGCCTTGCATTTCGCTAGCCTGGAGGTCTGATACTCATTTACTTAAAGAACTCTTGCTGTTAAAGCAGCACAAAGGCCCATCCTGAAAACATAATCAGGCCCAGGGAACGAAATGACAGCCACGGTTTTGTTATACGTTTTTATCTAGCAAAGTCTTTCAAATTCTTATTGCAATCTTGCAGTTATTACTCTGTCCCTAAACCTCTGTTTCCTTGGGGATGCTCAAATTTCTCTTGATTCTCCATGTGTTCTTCAGTCTTCCCTTTCTTCCAGTATTGCGAAGTACACAAAATTGGACACATAAATAAGAATGAGAATGCTTGTTTGTAAGAAGATACGTTGTTTATTTTGAATAGATACTGGGACTAGACTCCTGTTTCACTAGGAGTATTACTTTTTTTTCTTTTTTCTTTTTTTTTTCCCCAGAAATAGGACTCCTGGCACCTTTGTAACAGAGTTTGGTCAATAGAAAGATGGGAAGATTTCCCAATTTTCCAGTGAAAAGCAGAAAACGCACGATGTTATGTTTAATGCAAAGCAAGGAGTTGCAAGAAGAGTTGTGACATTCAGGTTTTGGGACCCCCTGGGTATCAGAGAAGCCCACAGCTCTCAAAGAGAAAATACCGTCAAAAATGGAAATGTTATACTGAGATGGAAAAAGATGATAGGAGATAGCCTGGGTCACCTCTTTTTTTGGTGAAAAGCAAAGATACTTCTGATGAAAATTGCCCTGTTTCTCCTGTGGTTCTCCCAAGGACGGGTTAAATAGCATAAAACATACTTTTGCTCTTCGGAATAGAAGAACATTTTTGCCACTACTTTCATATTCCATCTTTGGGTTTAATGAGTACATGTGTGATGCACAGGGTAGCTTTCCATACTGCAGTCAATAGTACCTGAAATGTATGTGTCCCTTCCTATAACATCAAGAGTAGGGAGACCCACGGGCTGCCTTTACGCTAAAGCTCAGGCAGGTAACTGAATTAACGAGCACATTAGTAAGAGCAGGATTAGGCCCAGAAAACCAGGACAAGTAGCTTATAAAGAGGAGAGGGTTTAGTGTTGCTGCAATCCCACACCAGCCAGCAATCAGCTTAGGATTTCTACAAGCCTGAAAGTCTGGTAGACTTCGGGAATCATTAGGAGCTGAAAAGGTCAAGATTCAGGAAGATTATTTAATTAGAAAAGCCTGGGGTTACAACGTCTGAGGTTCCCTGGCTGGGAGGCTGACCCAACTCCCCAGGCAAGGGTGCAAACCCGTTTTAATCTAAGTCTTAGACAGACAGTTTCCTCACATTGTTACCTTGGGATGAGGGTTCTCATGCTTGGTCTGAACGAATTGAGAAGCGAAATTTCTGGGAAGTCGGCAGTGATGTATTCATCCATTTCAGGTTTACCCATTTAGACCTTTTTCATCTTACAACTCAGATCTGACTTGCACCAAGTGCTTTTGGGGAAATGTGGACTTTGACTTGTCTGAAAAATGTAGCTGAGAAACAGAGCCATAACCACTCAATAATTACGCAGGGTAATATTTCTGTACCTACCCCCATGTCCCCCAAATACATGCAGATGTTTGCGTGCTCTTTCTCATAAACTACTGGAGAACTGGGTGTGGGATGAGGACCTGGCAATTTTTCAGGCCTGGAGTATTTCTGGGAAAAAGACAGCGAGTTTAACTTAAAGTCGACCGTGGTGCAGCAAAAAAAAAAAAAAAAAAAAATTGACTGCACTTAGGGATCGTGCACAGAGCTTTGTTCCCTGTTCTTCTCTGAAATTGCCCGTTCTGGTGATGGAGGGAGTGGATGAACAGTCTGGTTCCAGGCTAGTCCCTAGTCATTGCCTAAGAATGTGAGAGTTGTTTTGGGAGATGCCCTTAGCAGCCGAGAGAAGGAAAGCCCCAGCCATACACATACAGAGGGAATATAGTATTTTTGTTCGAATGAATTTAGCTTCCCATAGATTTAAATGTCTACTTCTAACGCAGGACCATTTAATCTTTTGTACATTCGTTTCTTTTTTATTTGACTTAAGATACTGAATTTAGATGAGGTTTAGTTCCTACATATTGAAACTCTTAAAAGCTCTTCAAATAATTGTTCTTTGGATACTTGTTAAGCTAAAGAAATCAGTTTTGATCGGCAGTAAAAGTTCATGCTATTTTAAGTGCAATGCTATAGCTATTTTCTGTTGTATATTTAATCATTTTGAATTATATGTCATGTAAAAGATTTTAGCTCTGGGGCATTTGCCAGATGGCTGATTCTGCATTTCACACAACAAAAGAAATAATGTTTGTGTAAAGCTCTTAAAAATAGTTGGTAATCAGTATATTCTACAACGAATAGGATCCAGACCTGTTTGGAAAAAAACCACACAGCTTTTGCAGAAATTAATTTAGAGGATTTGGTCTCTACCTCTGGGCTCTGAACAAAACAAATTGTGTCTATTGTTTGCTGATTTTTTAACATTTAACAAGTTAACCGAATTGTAAATTTTACTCATTTTTATGTTAAACGCTGTTCATTGCAATCCATTGATCTTTTTCTCTTTACTTTGGCTGACAAACTTATTTCTGAAAACAGCGTTTTGTAAAACAGAGAGCCAATACTACTCTCCGTTTACACAAGTAGAGCATACAAATGTGAGTAACCCTTTGCTTTTCTTGCAACAGCTGGAGTGCTTGTCCATTTTCATTGCTAACTCCTCTTTCTGGCCTCTGCGATTGATATTCCCACACAAACCACTGCAAAAAAATGTTTTCTCTCTCTGCCGTGGCACTCAGCTTGTTTTCTCTGCCCCGCAAGGCTCTACACAGGTCCATAACGAATTTACCTTTTTGATCTTGTCTCCTCAATCCCCCATATATGTTCTTCTCTTGCAACTAGTCTCAGGACATAGTTTCCCTGCCCGCATTCAGAGAATTCCAGTTTGCTGGTACTTGCTTTCCAGACTCGCTGCTTCCATGATAGTCAGAAGATTTGAAAGATACTACATGAAGAGGAAGGTTAGAAATGGTGG